AATAATGTACTTTTTAGCAGCATCATATGACCCCTTTAATTTAAGTGTAATGACCTACTTTTGATTAATTCATTCAAAATTTGACAAATTCCGTGACATTCCGCGTTAAACTGTGAATTCTGTTTTTATGACTGGATAAAGACAACACTGCATAATTTTCCCACTTATCATGCGGCCACTTGCCTGATGTGAACACAAAATATCTTACATACCACCACTTGTGAACGAGCCAGTGTAATGCAAATATATCTGAAAGATCTGCGATATGGTCACTGCGATATGGTCACACATCGGATCAGCCTCACATTTCATATTTCTTCTGGTGGAGTTTGTGGATCATGGGTTACGCCGTTCATGTGAGGGTGAACTTAATTTCTCATTCGGTGCAGATGATCTGTCAATTGCAGCATTAAGGCTTATGCCTTCTGACACAGAGGACTCACCTGGGCCCACACCATCTGTGGTGTGGTTGCTCATTCTGAGTCTGACGCCAAGATATCACCCATGCTTGCCTGGGCAGCTGCAAACATCGGACTAGAGTAGATTCCTCTGCTCTGCCCTGCCCTGAGAGTTCACGGCTGGATGATTGGTTTCTGGGTTCAGAGTGCAGCACACAACCGCGTTCATCAAAGTGCATGTTCCCAAAATCAGGAAGGCACCTTTCTATTCCATGGAACACTTCATGGGGTCTTCCGCTCTTCACTACTGGTCCAGGGTGGGGTGACAAAGGGGGTACTCAGAGGTTCCGCAGATTGAGCACACAAATTGCAATACATCTGTGCCCGCAAAACGCTGCCACCTGGAGGAACTGTCCGAGGCTTCCGTCTAAAATCTGTAAATGTACCTCATCCATGATGACGAGGGCTTACAGTGCTGCTGGGGGGATGCAGAGAAAATCCGCTTCCTGAATGGTACGATACCAGAATCTAATACTTCGGTATTGATACTAAATCGATACCATAGGTGACAAATAAGCAGCCTCAAAAGATTACTGAATTAAAAACTATTTTATTATGAACACTGCATGAAACTCTGCAGTAACAAATGTTTTGAATGTTTATTTTTTAACTATTATTGAATTATAAAGTACAATCTTCCTATAAAAAGTAACACTTTACATAACAAGTGGCATATGTCACAAATCCATCCGTTTCCTCAGTGCCAAATTCCTCAGCTCCACCCACTCGTTCACAGTCCCCGGAATTCTAACCACCTGCACCTGCTGTCACTCATTATGGATTCATTTACTGTATATACAAGTCACTTGAATCACCACATTGTCTGATCTCGTCACTCATGCAAGAGAAAGACTTACCTGCCTTTGCCTTCGGCTCCTCTGATCCCCTCTGCAGTCCACCATACCTGTGGAAAGTACTTGCCTTACGTTTCTGTGTTTCTTGTTTGAAGCTCCTCATTAACGTTCTGTGTTGAATTCCCCTACCATCTTTTCTATTCCATTTATGACAGTAGATCTATTAGTTTGCATTTACTCTCTAAGACTTAATGGACAATTCTGTATTGACATACAGTATCAGTTTTTTGCCCCTTCCATTGCTTATCACTGTCAATCATCACAGTTTCTGATTCAGTCCACAATTTAAATAAGGTTGTCAATCCAGAAACTTTGCAAAGTGCAGTTAGCAGTATATTATGTACAAAAAGCAAACAAAGAGCGTTCCCATTGTAGTCACTGAAGCTCAGTGCTCATAATAATCAATGAAGCTGACAATACTGCATGACTTATTTATATCATGTTGTTTTTTATAATCAAAGGATTCGTGAACATGTTTGGCTAAACTCCATAAGCTTGCTTTAAACAAATTCCAGTGTTTTCAGCAATGTTGCATGGATTCAGACCAACTTAAACACATCTGATTAGCCATTGCGTTCACATGCAAAACGGATATGTCCGTGATTGGCTACAATGCTTAACACTGCAAAAACATGTTGTAAATAGAAACCTTTGATGCTCTTCACAGAGCGCTTACACAAAAATACACAGGAGCATTAACATTATATCGATATTCACGACATTCTCTTATTTATATAATCAGCACAATTATTGTGTAGAGTGCGTTTTATCTGTTTGATCCATCTTGTTCCACTGTTGTCGCATTTGTCAGTTTAGCATCAGTTTGGGTAACACTGCCGCATAGCAGTGAACTTTGGAACAACAGCGTATGAAGTACCAAATGAGCAAAATCATGATTTTGTACCGTTTGAAAAATAATATGTACTGGTAATTTTCCAGTACCAGTATATCGCGCAACCCTGCCCCCATCTCACATGGTCGACCTCTTCGGCGACATTGTTGGGGATTTCACTCAGCAGTGCAGAGGCAGAGATTAAACCTGATCACAGTGCTCCTGCTACTTAAAATAAGTATTTAAAATTCTAAAATATTATTTGTACTATAATATAATAAATCCTCTCTAGCATGGGCATAGAATATGCGGGGGACGTGGGGGACTTTTCATAACCTCCCACTTTTCATAAAACATAAATTTGTCCCCCACACTTTTTTCGAGCAAGTGTTTTCACATAGAGGTTTTCAAGGGCCAGTGTGAATAAATCCAGATTAAAAATCCTAGGAAACAAGATAGTCTATGCATGACCTGACATTTCATTCGTATCCAAAATGAGGCAATGTGAAGGTTATAGAGTGCTAAACACTCTCATGCAGTGTGTTTCATTCATAATTGAAGCCGAAGGGTGCTCTCGTGCAGAAAGTCCAAAAATGGACTTATAGAAGTAATAACTCATGACGTGCCAGGAAATCGCTAATATGGACAAAGGCATCCAGCTATTGCTGTAGCTAAGCTAAGCTGAATAAAAAGAAGAAACATTTTTACTGATGAAATGTGAAGAGAACAAACGCACGATTGCAAAAATACATGGTTTATGTGTGTTTTTAAAGTCATTTCCAGGTAATAAATAAATGATGTATATGAATAATGCAGTTCTAATTGACATATCATTTATTACAGTAGCCTATAGAAACTATTTAAAAATATTTTCTGCCTTATTCTGTAATTAAAAATGGAAACAGTGTTTGCAGTACATAAGCTAATCATAAAATTATATGGAAAAAATAATTATAGGATACAAATTATTGGTTTTTTGTCCTGCACTGTATTTCATTTCTTAGCTAATTAAAAGTAAGAGATAAAAAAATTAAATAAAATCTGTCAATTAGACAAAATAAATAAATTACAAATAATAATAATTATTATTATTACAGTACATTTGACATTTCTGTCCCCCTCACTTCTGAAATGATGACTATGCCCCTGAACTCTGGTTAATGTGTGTAACCATGGTTCCCCAAAGGGAACGAAATGCTGCGTCAGAAACGCTTTGGGAATGCCTCTGCGTGACCACACTCTGAAGCTTGTGTGAAATCAGTCCAGTGGAATGGCAAGACATAATAGGCGGGATGATGTAGCAACCAGAAAGCTTAAAAGCATGTGCGGTGAAAAGAGAATTAACTTCTGATTAGTGAAGGAAGCGCTCGCAGGGATACAGGAATTATGGCAACGAGACGCAGCATCTCGTTCCTTTCGGAGAACCATGGTTACAATCATAATCTAGAGACATTCCCCTTCAGGAACTCACGCTGTTTTGGAAACGCTTAGGGAACGAGAATACCAATTCCGCCATAATTACAAATCCCTGCCTAGTGTGGGACACTACACAACTAGGACGAGAGAACAGAGGAGCCAGGAGTGATTCCCATGTCGAGGTTGTAAAACCTGGCAAATGTAAGCGGGGAAGACCTCCAGCATTACAGATGTCATGCATTGACACCCCAGAGAGAAAGGCCTTGGAGGCTACCACACTTCTAGTAGAGTGCACTCTGACCCCCAATGATGAAGGGAGGTCAGAGGACTCATAAGTCAAAGATATTGCATCCACAGTCCACCAACTTAAGGTCTGCTTGGTCGCTGATAGACCTCTCTTGGGCGGACCAAAGCAAACAAATAACTGGTAGGACTTTCTCCACAGGTCAGCTCTGTGGACATAAGTGTCCAGTGCTCTGACTGGACAAATAAGATGAAGCTTTTCCTGGTCTGGGTCACTAAAGGGAGGAGGACAGAAAGCCTGCAGCACAACGAAACTACGGTGGGCACCTTAGGCAAAATGTAAGCGGGGAAGACCTCCAGCATTACAGATGTCATGCATTGACACCCCAGAGAGAAAGGCCTTGGAGGCTACCACACTTCTAGTAGAGTGCACTCTGACCCCCAATGATGAAGGGAGGTCAGAGGACTCATAAGTCAAAGATATTGCATCCACAGTCCACCAACTTAAGGTCTGCTTGGTCGCTGATAGACCTCTCTTGGGCGGACCAAAGCAAACAAATAACTGGTAGGACTTTCTCCACAGGTCAGCTCTGTGGACATAAGTGTCCAGTGCTCTGACTGGACAAATAAGATGAAGCTTTTCCTGGTCTGGGTCACTAAAGGGAGGAGGACAGAAAGCCTGCAGCACAACGAAACTACGGTGGGCACCTTAGGCACATACCCTGGCCTAGGGTATAAGATTGCCTTAGCCAAACCAGGCTCAAACTCCAGAAATAAAGGGGCCACCGAAAGGGCCTGAAGGTCACCAATTCTCTTAAGGGAAGAGATGGCCAGTAGGAAAACAATCTTAACTGTGAGGAACCTCTCCGGAACCTCCTCAAGGGGTTCAAAGGGAGGCTTACAGAGAGCTTATAGGACCATGGTCAAATCCTAGGACGGGACTCTAGAGTGCTAAGCAGGCCTCAGCCTCAAGGCATCACAGAGGATAACATGTAACCAATGGTTTTCTCCCCAATGACTGACCACCCAGAGGGCCGTGGTAAGCAGCTATGGACGCCACGTACACCTTCAGGTTGGAGGGGCTAACCCTGTGGAAAACTGTTCCTGGAACTCCAGCACTGAACCAACCGGGCAGTTGACTGGGTCAAGCTGACGGTTGTCATACCAAGAAGTGAAAAGGTTCCACTTCAAGGGTACTGTTTCCTAGTGGAGGGAACTCTGGACTAGAGAATGGTTTCAATAACCTCAGTTGAGAGACCGGAAGCTATGAGCTGTGCCCCCTCAGGGGCCACACCCACAGTTTCCATAACTCCGGGCAGGGGTGAAGAATCGAGCCCCCCGCTTGGGAGAGGAGGTCCCTTCTGACGAGAATTTACCAAGGAGAGCCATTGAGAAGGGCCACCAAGTCCGAGAACCATACTCGGCCTGACCAGAACGGGGCTACTAGCAGCAGATGAACACAGTTCTGGCGCACTCTCTCCAGAACTCACAGGAGCAGAGCAATCGTGGCAAATGCGTACAGATGCAGCCTTTGCCACGAGTGGACAATGTGAGATCTCTCGAGATGCAAACAAGTCCACTTGGGCCTGGCTGAACACCCTCCAAATCTGCTCCACCACCTCAAGGTGGAGCCTCCATTCCCCGGGCCTCGGCCCCTGCCTCGACAGGATGTTCTATGGCCTCCTCCTCAAGGGAGTGTCTATTTCCTATTCCATTACCAGAGCCTGCACAGGGCCCACCAGAGTGGAAATTACCCTGTTGAATCGAGGCAGATGAGAACCAATCTGGATTCTGTAGCCTCTTTCTACAGTCAGCAGGACCCATTGAGACGTTGCTTGTCACTCTTTTTGCAAACACTCGCCATAATAGAGTTGTGCAGTGGCACGAACACACACACACACATCAGACAAATGGAGACAGAGAGCTTACTGAAGAAGCAGAAGCTAACGCTGTTTTCATCGCATGTGGTTTTAAGCGTCCTGGTTGCTACGTCATCCCACCTATTATGTCTCGCCATTCCATTGGACTGATTTCCACACGTGCTTCAGAGTGTGGTCTCGAAGAGACATTCCCAAAGCATTTCTGATGCAGAGCTAGTTCCTGAAGGGGAAATAAAATATTATTTATAACATAAATTACTCTTCATTTATTATGAAATTAACCCCATTAAGCACCCATGTAGAACTGGGTCTGCATCTTAGTTTGGATCTGTTCAATTTTTCTTTGATTTAGTCTCTTTTTGATTGTAAAGTTCCTGCTTATCTGGGCTTATATCCTGCATAGAGTGACTGAAGAGTGTCATTGTTCTCTACAGGTTGATTAATTGTGGTATCACATATAAAGTTTGTGCTGCTCTGGCTTCAGCTTTGAGATCAAACCTCTCACACCTAAGACATCTCAATTTGTCTATTCAATTGGCGGCCCGCGGGCCCAATCCGGCCCGCCAATCATCTTCATCCGGCCCGAGGGAAGAGTACGCGCAGGTCGCACATACGCCTTGAATTGTTTTTGCACTAATTAATTTGTCCACAAGGTGGCATCACTGGCACAGGCCGTGGTTTCACAGCCAAAAAAGAAAAGGAAGAGACGCAACAACAACAATCTACCGTAGACCGCAACATCAATAGACGGCAGTGTTGACAAGCGCTTGTGTGAGAGGGTTATGAGATATCCTCAACACTAGTTTAAACGAGTTTCAAGACAGTGTTATCGGTCATAACTTCTGGCGAGAAATAGTGCAGACACTTAACGAAGATGATTATCAGATGGAGTACAGTTTGAAAGGCTGCGCGTTCGGCTGTACGCACATGCTGAGCAGCTTCAGACAGCGCGCCAGTAGCTCTTCAACCAACAAAAACAAACAATTATGCCAAAACTATAAAATACAATTTATAGTTTGTGAAGATTGTTTTAAGTTCACTTAAATTAAATGTTATATTTTTCAGAGCCTACTAAATGTTAAAAATAATGTCTTTCAATTATACTTTAATGTTGAATGGCTATAATGAATGGCTACAATTGAGCTGAAAATGCATTTAATAGAGACATCAGTAGCAGTATTGGTATAAAAAATACTGGCCTTTGTTAATAATACTAATAATATAAATATTTATCGGGAGTGTGTATGCTGGGATTTCATAAATTTAATGGAGAAAAAAAGTAATGTAACTAGTAATGTAACTAATTACTAATTACTTTTGAAATAAAGTAATCGGAACAGTAAAAAAGGAGTAATCAGTAATTTGATTACATTTTCAGAGTAACTTGCCCAACACTGATCTGACATAATTTTACTATTGATACTTGGCCAAAACATGAACATGATTGGAATATTTCATATCACAACTGCTTACATATCACACAGGCATGATAAGGAAAATTAAAGTATCTTACTTTTTATGATATTAACACCCTCACACTCATGTAGAAATAGGTCCGCACCTTAGACTGGGCCTGTTAATCATCTCTCATTTGACTGTGAAGTTTCTTCTTATCTGAGCTTTATATGCTGAGAGTGAAGAATATTATTGTTCTCTACAGGCTGATGGATTGTAGTGTTACAGATAAAGGTTGTGCTGTTCTGGCTTCAGCTCTGAGATCAAACCCCTCTCACCTACAAAAACTGGATCTGACTAGAAATTTTCTTGGAAAGTCAGACGTGAAGTTGCTCTCTGCTCTCTGCTCTGATCCGGATTACGAACTGAAGACACTTCTGTGAGTAGTGATGATTAAAATGTTCAGGTTTTAATTGGTTGGTATTAATTGCTATTAATCAGTTTTGTAATGAAGATCATGTCAGAGTTTTACAGGGATAGTTCACCCAAAAATTAACATTTCTGTTATTAATTACTCACCCTCATGTTGTTCCAAACCCGCTTGATGATGACTTTTTAGACCCGACTTGATTTCTGTCCCTCCACTTAAAGACCATTCCACTAAAACATTGACGCTTTAAAAAGTCCATCCAGCATAATCCATATTAATTATGCTGCTTAAATTAAGTCCTCTTAAGAGACATTAGCACTTATGATAAGGAACAGATTTATGCTTTTGTTTACATTTAAATATACATAGAGTTTTGGGTGAACTATCCTTTAATTCCATCTGGTGCAAAAAAAAAAGTGTATTTTAAAGTTATTTTTATTATTATTTTAAACCAAGAGTGTAGTCATTCCCAAATGTCCCTTAAAATTATGTATTTTGAGAGAATTACACCTGTCCTTTTTAAAGAAGATAAGGTAAATAGTTATCATCACTTTCATTATCATAAATAAAAACAATGTGACACATGAACAGGGACAAGTCATACTGGATTATGGTTAAGAGTCAAAGGTCAAATCCTTTTTATTGTTAAAAAGGGCATTGTTGGTATACTAAATAAAGAAAAAATGTAAATGCACACTCACTTAAAGGGTTAGTTCACCCAAAAATGAAAATTCTGTCATTAATTACTCACCCTCGTGTTGTTCGAAACCCGTAAGACCTTCATTCACTATCTGAGGGTCAGAAAGCCCTCAGATTTAATCAAAAATATCTTAAATTGTGTTCCAAAGATGAACGAAGGTCTTACGGGTTTCGAATCAACATGATGGTGAGTAATTAATGACAGAATTTTCATTTTTGGGTGAACTAACCCTTTAAGCATTGTTCATTTGTTACCAACGTTTCAGCAAAACAAGTAGCCTTTGTCAAGGTATGATTTCTTACCAAGTGGAGAACAATATAAATAGGGATAATAATAAATCACAGGTGAAGATAATGACATCCGGGCCAATAATAACCAGCCAATAATTAAAGTGAAAAGTGAAGTGAGGTGTCCCATACTCGGAATTTGTGCTCTGCATTTAACCCATCCAAGTGCACACATACAGTAGTGAACACACACACAGAGCAGTGGGCAGTGCCTTGCCCAAGGGTCTCAACTCAGTCATGGTATTGAGTGTGGAAGAGAGCACTGGTTATTCACTGTCGGAATTCCTACCAGACCTGAGACTCGAACCCGCAACCTTTGAGTTACAAGTCTGACTCTCTAACCATTAGGCCATGACTGCCCCCAATTAATTAATAGACAAAATGTAAACTCTTACATTTTACACAGTAAAATTACAACTCTTACACAGTAAATACAAACAAATAAAATACACAAGAGTGTAAATCCAATCCAAATTCAATATAATAACATTCATAAAAAACAAGCCAAACCAAAATCTACATTTAAACCATATGGGACATATTTGTGGTAATCGGATCAATTTATATATCCAGGATGCCTCCCGTCTAAGTAAAATTTAATCCAAGTCACCTCCTCTTCTTGGTAGAAATATCCTCTCGGTTCCTATATAATGCAATGAGGTAATCGGATGGTTAAACTCAACAAAATGCATCGCTAATGGATAATTCATATTTCTACATCTTATTGTATACATGTTCTGCAATGTGTGTTTTAGGTTCTCTAATTGTTTTTCCTATATGATTTACCACAAGAGCATGATATCAAGTAAATAACCGCTTTTGTTTTACAGTTTATTATTCCTTTAATAGGAATTGATTTACCAGTGTGCAGGTGTTTAAATGATGTACAACGGTACATATAACTACACTGATTACATGAATCACAATGATAATTTCCTTCTCAAATCGGTGTTAATGTGGTTTGTGTTGTTACAGATGGAGGGGGAAACTTTGGTCCCATATGGTTTAAATGTAGATTTTGATTTGGGTTGATTTTTTATGAATGTTAAGATATTGAATTTGGATTGGATTTACACTCGTTTATTTTGTTTTGTTTGTATTTACTGGATTTTTTTTCTTATGTACTTTGATACTCTGTTTTTGTTAATGTTATGAGCATTTGTGATGTAAATGTAGGAGTTTACATTTTGTCTTCTAATTAATTATTGGCTGTTGACCCGGATGTCATTATTTGTCATTATTGTTCTCCACTTGGTAAGGAATCATACCTTGACAAAGGCTACTTGTTTTGCGAAAACATTGGTAACTAATAAACAATGCTAAAGTGAGTGTGCAGATATATTTTTTTCTTTATTTAGTTTGCCCCTTTAACTTGCACCTCTAAAAGGTGTGCTTTTGTTTTATTAATTCATTGTTTAAAGGGGTGGTTCATTGCGATTTCACTTTTTTAACGTTAGTTAGTGTGTAATGTTTCTGTTTGAGCATAAACAATATCTGCAAAGTTACGAAGCTGAAAGTTCAATGCAAATGGAGATATCATCTTTTAAAATTCTGGCAGTTTAATGCCTACAAAAACGACTGGTATGGACTACAACGAGTTACTTCCCGGGTTCGTGACATCACAAACACAGATAAACCCCGCCCTCGGGAAAAGGCAAATAAGGGGGCGAGGCCATGCTGCGCTGCTTTAGAGAAGAGGAAGTGAAATCTAGAGGTGCACGTAAAAATCTGTTCGCATTTACAAATAACAGCGTATCTAAAAGTATGAGACAACAACAAACAAAAAACATAGGCCTACCATTAAAAGCCATGCTTGCACAGGTTCTGCACAATCCTCTTCAATAATATCCTCTACTTCTCAATCGAACTCAAACTGATAAGCGATGCAGTTGTTTACAATACAACCAGAGCACATGCTGCCGAGGTGAGGGGCGGGACGACGCGCGCTAGAGGCGGTTTAGCCAATCACAACACACTGGGCTAGCTAACCAATCAGAGCCCATCGCCTATTTCTGAGGGAGGGGCTTCATAAAACTCTCTCTCTCATTCAGCTCAGCTCCAACAATGAACTGTTCCAATTATACACTTACTTTCACATAGCTATGAGAAGCGTTAAACATGGACGTGGGTGCAGTTGCTGTACTGTATTAAAGCTTTATTCAGGATAAAACTGCAATTATGTGAAAAATGATGCGTTTTTTAAAAAACGAAGCATTAACACATGTTAAACTGCACCCCATAAACACAATCAAGCCTAGAAAAAACCCAGTGAACCACCCCTTTAAAAAGGGCATTGTTGGCACCATGCATTACAGGGTTATATTATTTCTTGCTAATAGAGCCAATAGTTTGTTTTAAATTTGTTTTACTGTCTGTGTTTTACTTACAGGTTTTAGTCTGACCTTCTCTGGATTGGTTGACAGTGAATAAAGAGCCACTAAAAAACATCACATTTAATAAAGACAAATCCATAGGGATCATAACACACAAATGTGTTTGTGTTATTTTCCATAATGATTCAAAAGTAAAACAAGAAAACTGTTTCTTCTTTTCTCTACATTTGTATTGGTACTCCATTTCATATTATAATATTATCTTCTGTTCAATCCATAATCCAATACATTTCAGATCAAAAAAAAAAAAGGAAAATGAAATCTGTGTATGTTAGCAATCTATAATCTAAATATGATGCTTTACTGTATTGGCGTATTGGACAGTGTTGCATTAAGGAAATCAAAGCACATTCTATACTTTAGATTTTCTAAAATGTATGGCACTTAATAATGCATTGTGTTGCCACCTTTGTCATATTACATTTGTTGCTCATAGGGATTCAAATGAGAAAATCCTTTTTTCCTTTCTAGTTTATACTTGTATTTTCTTCAGTTTAGGTATTATAGAACTGTTGCAATTAATTCTTTTTTACTTTATAGCTTATATTTATATTTCAAGCTTTATAGCTTTTTATGTTTGAATAATGAAATTTGCTGTGCTACCCCTGTGCTAAAATATCCTGGCTCCACCACTGATTATTTTTCATGATTCATGTTTTTTTTTTTTTTTTACATTTTTACATCAGTTTTTTGTTAAATAAATTGTCATGCTATTTCAGTTTTGATATCTCAGATTTGAGCATATAATTTCTCCAAGACATTGCAATATTTCTCAATTTTACAGACCTGTAGAAAGCTTGCTTTAAATGAGCAGAAAAAAATTAACAGCCATTTCGTATAAGTGACCTCCTACACTATGTTGTTATCAGTACACCTAATATGTTGTCAGTGTACTGTGGCAATATGGAATAGCATGCATCCAAAAAAATTCAACAAAATTGTCAACAACACTGCGGTATTTGTCAAGTTTACAAACCTGAAGAAATGTGTATTTCAAATAAGTGGAAAAAAAAAACAATTAACAATTCCTTAAAAACTTACAAACTTTCTAAGCACTTAATATGAAGCACATTTACATAGTTTGCAGTAGGATGTATGCACATTTAACACAATGCTCAAAGACATTTAAAATGTTTACCTACTTTAAAGACATGGGGCATGTTTCAATAAGGAGGTTCAACCAACTCTGAGTTGAAACTTGAACTCTGAGTTGACTTACCCTGAGATGGGTTTTCAGGTTCAGAACAGCTGAACTGAGTTAGTTCAATCGACTTTGAGTAGGTTGACTCTGCCTACATTCCAGTCCATTTTTTTATGCCCTTCACTTGCTAACTTCCCTCCGTCTCATTTACTTGGATATACATCATTGATTTTACGTTGCATGAGTGCCCACTACTGGCGGAACCCTGAAGTGTGCATATGAAGCAGACTCGCTCCCTCTGTCAAAATCGAGGGGTCAAGGCAGGGCCGTTGCAAGAACTTAATGTCATTCAGGTCAGCTGTCATTTTATTTTGACATGTTGAACAGTGACAGACAGTATGTTACAATTTAATAATTCAGCATAGGATATTTCATTCAGATTTTAAATGTTTTCAGATGGGTCACAACATTTCAAAGGGTTTTTACAGTAACTTACTGGCAACACTGTTCTCACTATTCTCTATGGGGTTCAGGTCTAGTGAGTTTGCTGGCCAGTCAAGCACACCAACACCATGGTCATTTAACCAACTTTTGGTGCTTTTGGCAGTGTGGGCAGGTGCCAAATC